TTTTTTAAAAAGAAAAACCCATGAACCTTTAACAAGACAAACAAAGCTTTTTAAAACCAGAATTAACCATTAAACATTTAGGTACAGTAAACATCTTTTGACCTTTTATATACCTTTTATGACCTTTTATATACCTTTTGTAATTTTTAGTTTTGACCCTCTTTCATCTTTATTTTATTGGTTAAGCCAGACATTTTTAGACAACCCCCTTTTATTATTATTATTATTATTATTATTATTATTATTATTATTATTATTATTATTATTATTTTAAAAATTAGGGACTGGGGAGATTGCTCATCAGTTGAAGAACTGGCTGGTCTTCCAGTGAACCTGTGTTTGGTTGCCAGTACCCACATGGCAGCTCACACCTGTCTATAACTCCAGTTCTAGGGCTTCTGACACCCTCACACAGATGTACATGCACAAAAAATAATAATAAATTCTAAAAATATTTATTTTATGTCTATGAGTGTTTTGTCTGCATGTATATATGTATAGCATATACATGCCTAGTACCCATGAAAGTTAGAATAGGGCATCAGATCCCATAGAATTGGAGTTATAGTTATAGCCACCCTATGAGTGCCAGAGTCAAAAACATCAAGTACTTTAAGCCACCGAGCCCTCTTTCCAGCTCCTGCCTTTTGTCTTCTGCTTTTTTCAAACATTTATGCATTTCTGTAGGTTTTTGAGACAGTCTCACCTTGTAGTCCTGCTGGTCTGGAGCTCATCCTACAGCCCAGGGTGACCTCAAACTTGTGAGTTTACTGCCTCAGCTGGCCAGGTGTGCAGTGCCACTGCCCCATCTCTCAAGTCTTCGCCCTTTTTTTATCTTTTGCGGTGCTGGAGCTCAAATGCAAGCCCTTACACATACTAGCCAAATGATCAATTCCCTACCACTGATCAATTCCCACCCAAGGTTTTAATTTCTATGTCAGAACAATTATCATTTTCTTTTATGCCATAATTATTTCTAGGTGTGGGGGATCTGGACTTTCCCAGGGCTTTGCACCCAGAGCACTGCCCTGCTGAGCTCCAGCCCTGTCTGCTGGTCTAGCCTTGACTGTCTGCTAGAGTGAGCACATTCGGATTCCATGGATGTCTTTTCATGGATTTACGGCCTCTCTATTCAGAGTGTCTGTGTGGGGATCAACCTGTGGACCTTGGCCTTGTATTTGGTTGGGTCCCCTACCCTGATCTCTTCCTTATCTTCCAGCTGGTTCAAATATCAGAGATGTCCCATGTCCTATACCATAAAGATTCTTTGTAACTTATAGATGTACAAATAATTTCTTTCTCTTTTAGATGTAACCTAGACTTCTCTTTGCTCAATGACTTTTAAGAAAAAGGGCCTGCCCCACCCCACCTTGGTCTTTGGTTTGCTTTGGTTTTTAGCCACCTCTGACTGGGTGGTTTTTTATGTTTTGGGCTTAGTTGCCCTTGTCTGTGGAGCTGGGCTGCTGTGGTGCTCACTGGCTTACCTGTGGCCCCTGCTGCCTGTCTGTAAGCAGTGCTGCTGCTGGGCATTGCCACTAAGCCTGCTTCACTCCCTCTCTGTTTTCCTGCACCCTGACTTCGTTGGGTGGTTCTTCCTCTCCTATCTTCCCATGATGCTCTTTGTGCCGGACCCAACATGAGCAGCACTGGAGCTGCAGTGGCCCTGGACGCCAGCCCTACTCTCCATCTCTAGTCTAGTCTGAGGCTCTTTTCTGGACTCTCTCTAAAGGTCATAATTCTCTGAGTTCTGGTCGGCTCCGTTTCTGGTAAGCCGACCCAATGCTGTGCACCCTCCAAGCCCAACCCCGCTAGTCCAGAAGTGGGACCTCTCCCCTGCGGCTGTGTGCAGGGCCGGGGGGGGGGGGGGGGGGGGAGGAAGGGCGCCGCTTCGCAAACCCCTTTTTCCGGGGATGGGGGGGGGGGGGGGGGGGGCGGCCCGCGGGGGGGGGGGGGGGGGGGGGGGGGGGGGGGGGGGGGAGCTGGCTCAGCTGAAAAGATATGGCCCTCAGATAGTTTAGTCAGGAACAAAACGGCAGTATTTATTTTCTCCAGAAAAAAAACATTTAGCGTTTTTTTTTTTTTTAAAGCTCCTTCGTGTAGATGGAATCTAGGTATGTTATTGTTTAAGAAAAAAAGTGTTTGTGGTGCATCAGTCACCCGTTTAGTTCTGAACATGATTTATGTGAGGAAATGGTTTTTTTTTTTTAAAAAAAAAATTAAGCTGGAGATATATCCCTGTACGATGCTTCTGTGAAAATGCGGCTTTGTCCAGGCTGTTAATGCAAGTTGTAACAGTGCGGCAGGGGAGGCAGTGTTTACATGTTACATTCCTCTGCGCAGTCAAAATAAGCCTGGAGGGTCTACAGTAGCATTTCTGTATTTTATCAGCTTGGGCTGGGGCAGAGGGGGAGGCCCTGCTCACACTTGGAGGGGCTGTTTCTGCTAGATTTATTTGCCTTATAAATATTCCCTGTGTTTATTTTAACTCCCCTTTAAAATGGAGCTGAAATTAATATGGATCCCAGGGCTGTCCCTATGGCCCCAGGGTGCCTCCCGGAGCCGGGTGACACTTTGACATGGCTCATCCAGGAGGCCAGGTCAGCAACCAAAGGGTACATGGCACCTCTGGGCCCGGGCCTGGGCCTGGGCCTGCAGTGGGCACTGTCTGCTGGCTGGCATTTGTTGAGGAAGGATCCCAGAACCATGGTAGGATCAGCAGGATTTCAGAGCTTTCCTTCCTCTACCTGGGCACAGGCAGCAGCCAGGACTCATTTTCTAGTGTGTGTATGTGGGGTGTGGTGACGAACGCCTGCTAGTCACCCGTGAGGTGCTTGAGCTTAGCATGGTAACTAGAGCTGTCTGGGCTTCCAGGATTACCTCCCACTGCCTTTGCCCCTGGGCATCAATGGAGGAACCTCTTTCCTCCTTGGATGACATCTGAGTCTCAGAGAGCCCAGGGCTGGCCAGATGGCAGAGATGAGGTGCTTATGTCTGAGCCCTGTCCATAGAAGATATGGTTAAGTGACACCCTTTACCCAGCAGCTGGATGCTAGCCAGGCGAGGTCACACCTGTCAGCTGTAGTAGATGGAGCACCTGGCTAGAACCCAGGGTCTTAGCAACTTCATAGAAAGAACCCCTGAGCTTGCAAATGTTGTCTTAGAGTTGGGCAGTATGAGGCCCAGGGTTAGACAGCATGTTGGCACCTACCCACTCTTGGCCACCCAACTACCAGTGTATGTTGGGCCTGGTTGCCTTTTACGTTGCTCTTTGCCAAAATCTAGGACAAGCTGGAGAAGGGATGAGGTAGGGAGGGAGACCAGAGTGCAGGGCTCCTTTGGGAAAAGTAGGGAGTGAGATAGGGGCCACTGAGGGCAGGCATCCACTGCCATTGAGGAAGGTGGCTGATGCCCTGTGGAAAAACTGTCCCACTGACACAGCAAGGCCCTGACAGTGAAGGATGTGGGTGAGAAAAGTGAGCTTGCTCCTTAACCCTGCTTTAGGGATGTGGGAGTTGGCACTGGGATTCACTTACAGATCACAGGCAGCTTGAACCGGGTGTGGTAGGGACAAGGGAGTGGCAAGAGCTGTCCCTGCCTCTAACCCTGCAGCTCAGACTGTCTCCCTGTACCCTCATATCTCCAGAAAACCTCTGTGCCCCACAGAGTCTCAGGCCTGACCCCTCCCCCCCCAGCTGACCTGGCCCAGCATTTCTGACCTCTCTTTTCTGGATACCCAAACCATGAAGCAGGGTCCTCCCACAGGCACTCTCTTCCACATCCCCTTGCCCCCAGCAGGCTGATCAGTGGGTGCTGTTGCTAGGCTCACTGTTTCTGGTTCCTGAGCTGGCACACCCAGGATGGTGAGGAGGCCGCAGTGAGTGAGGAGCTGGCTCCACAGCTTCTCCCACACTGGGCTTGAGCCCCAGGAGCTGTATCCAGGTAACAATTACAACCTGCTTGTTCCTGCTCTCCCTTCGCACTGTGTCTCCAGGGGCAATCTCTCCCTCTGCTATTAGTCCCATTCAAACCATCCTAGCTACACACTAACCACACTAGCCCTGGAAATGGTGGTGACTGAGGCCAGCCCATGGCAATCTACTCCCATGTACCCGTGCCAGCCTGAGGTTCTCTGTCTCTGGGCACTGTAGAGCTGAGAGTGTTTTGCATTATGAGATAGGGTCTCTAGTGCAGACTAGTCTGGAGCCTGCTGTGCAACTGAAGCCAGTCTCAGTGTCATGACAACCCCACCTCCCTTTGCTGAGTGCTGTGACTACAAGCGTGGGGCGGCATACTGGACAAGAGAATTTTTATACTGGCTGATTTAATGCCGCCATCCGAGTTGGTCTGACCCTCACTAAATTGGGAAGCTGCCCAAGGTACTATGACCATTTTTCTCCCGTTCTAAGCGCAGGAGTTAGAAAGGTACATTTTATCTTAGAAGAGCCACTTAGTTAGAGCCATGGCTGCATAATATTCTCATTTTCTGCCCAGCTTCTGACTCTGTTTCATGTGGTGCTCTGGTGAGGCAGAAGGGAGAGTAGCTGTCAGCTTGGGGCTTGATTCTCAGCTTTTCTGCTTGTTTGCCTGTGTGGGGCTAGGACCTTGGGTAGCTCCCACTACTCAGGACTTGGTCCAGGGGTAGACCCCAGAGGTTTGGGTGATACTGGCAGGTCCAGGCAAATCTGGAGCCAGCTCCACTAGGATGGAGGATTTGTGGTGTCTCCTCTCTGGAGCTGCTTTCCTGGAGAGTCTGTGGCTCTATAGTGTTGACTGGCACTTCCTGGACTGGCAGTACTACCAAGGAACCAGGTGCTCCTATGAGACTGTCACTTGTGTGAGTGTGCCTCCTGGAGAGAGGATTAGGGTCCTGCGGGCTGAGAGGCAGACTGAGCACCCTGTAAGCCTAGCTTCACAGGTCTGTGTTAATGCCCTTGTTTCTGCTTCCTCCTCCCTTTCAGTTCTGACAAGCAAGCCACCCTGTGATTAAACTAATCTCATGCATCCATGGAGAATGTTGGCACATTAAAAGGCACAGACACACACACACACACACACACACAGACACACAGACACACACACACACACACGTGGCGGGGGGGGGGGGAGAAATTAGGTTCAAGGCTACCAGGGTATAAGATGGTGACTTCTGGTTGAGCAGACAAAGATCTGACCCCAGGGTCTTTAAATACAGTGTTAACTCGTGAGCTTCCAAACCTTCCTCCAGCCTGCCAGCACCAGCACCAGCACTGCCATCCCTTGCGGTTGGCTGCAGCTGCACTGGTCACTGCGCCTTGCAGCTGGTCCTGGGTGAGTGTGGCCAGTAGAAGTCAATCTACAGCTTCCACCTCTGGGAACTGACTCAGGATCTGGAAGCTTCATTTTGTCTCTGCTTTTGTTCCAGTCTTCTCCTCCCCACTTTCTGTTTTCAAGGGTCCAGGCTGGCTTCAAACTCCTTTGTGGCTCAAGTTGACCTTCCTACCTCCACTTCCAAAGTGCTGGGATTACAGGCAGGCATGGCCATTCCTAGAAAGAACGTCAGTCCTCTGACTTCTTTTGTTCATCTTTGAAAGAATAAATGTTCCCATTAATTGGTCAGTTAGAGGAAGAGGTGGAGTGAAAACCAACGCTACTATCACCAGGACTCATAAAACAAGTGGCCCAAGGTCACTGTCCATTCAAGCAAGATGTGAGCTTTTGTGGAGATTTCGTGTGTGTGCACTCAAAGCTCCCCCACCCCCAGGAATGTGCCTGCCTGTGGGTGTCTGCCTTCCCTTGTGTGCTTTGGAGTTGGCAATTTGGAGGTGGTGGCCTGAGGGCTGGGGGCACCTGGGAGATGGCTCTCCACCTTCTGTGGTGGGGCCACCTCAGGAGGTCCACAGTGCTCGTGGGCTCTGCTAGAGCAGATGGCGATCCCTGGCTGCCCGCCCACCCATCTCCCACACCCAGCCTGCTTTGTGGGAGGTGGGGAGGCACACGTGGACTGCAGAAACAGAAGAATCAGATTCTGGAGACTGTTTGCTTCGTACTCAGCAATGTGGTAGGAGGGCCTAGAAATGGGGGTTGGGGTTCCAGCTGTCCTGGGGAGAGTCTGAAGGGAGCTTGAGATAAGTAGAGAGGCCCAGTCACCAACAGAAGGACTGTACTGGTGCTGCCCCTCTAGGCTGGGTCTCCACAGCTTGTTGGAAGGTGGGGGCTGGGTCTAGCATGCTCTTCAAGGAGCTGAGAACAAAGTTACTGCTTGTTAGACGCTCAGACCTTCACCTTCCATCCTACAGGTGAGGCAGGGTGATTGAAGCAGCTTAATTCCGTTTGCTTCTTAAGTAACTCAGACTTCCATATCTTAAATGGCTCAGACCCCTCACTATATACATCAAATCCAAAAAGTGTTAGGTTTTATATTTTGGAAAATGTCTCTACCGGAAACACGTTGCACCTGTGTGGGCATTTGCAGGCAGACAGATGCACACTTGCATCCTGTGTATGTTTCTTTGGCATGGCCAATTCATTGGGGGACCGGGAAAGTGCCTCTGTTCTGCTGTCCTGCTTGGGATCTCAGGATCCCCTGTCCATGTTCATCACATGCTGAGTGGGCTTGTATGACCAGCTGGGGCCACCTTGTACTCAGCCAGTCAGTGTAGTTCTGTCCCCAGCTCCTGTGCAGAAGCAGCATGCCAGATGGTTCCCGCAGGGCACCTGCACAAGTATTCTGAGGGATCCGCCGCTTTTCGAAATGGAATTATATCATTAGTACTTGCCAGGATTAGTACTGACATCAGGCTTATCCATCCTTACATCACCTGCTCTTGTTCAAAGACTGAAGGGGTGATCTGACGAGCCCACCCACATGCAGCCGCCCTGGCTGGGAATCCTTGTTTCCTCAGCCCTTTTGCATGAGTGTGCCTGTGTGTTTTGCATGGGTGTGCATGTGAGAGGATATGGACAGGTGTGTGTGACCACTTGTCTATACTAGTATGTTCACAGTGTGTATGTGCGTGCAAAGGACTTTCCATGTTTGTTTGTCCCTATATGTGCATGTATGTGGAGTGTGGACCTGGCCACAAGAGAAGATTAAAATGACTGTTTTCAGTGAGTTACAGTGTCTTGTTCTGACTCTGCGGTGTGTGTGTGTGAGGGGGGCGGGGGCGGGAGAGAGGGAGACAGAGGGGAGAGAGGGGAATGCCAGGGGGTCTTGGGCCCATTTGTAGTAGGATTGGACAGACAGATCTGGGCTCTACTCATGGGGAGCTGCTTCCTATAAGCCTCTTTCCCCATTCTGGCCCTCTTAATGTCCTACCAGGTCATTCCTGCTTCCATCCTGGCTCAAGAGGCAAGACTCATCTGTGGGCAGAAGGAAAGCCTTGTGCTTCTGAGGGCCATCTCTCAACATGTCCACCAGTGCCTGGTGCTGCCTATGCTTTTCACAGGCCAGGTGTCATTTGTCACTGGCCGTGCAACCTTCACCACCAGGCAATTTGCTGGTTCAATAGCACTGTTTGCTGTGTTGTATTTCATAGCTATAGCTTTTAGGAAGCGGGTTCTATACCTTGACATCACCTGTTGGAACAGTCAGCCTCAACTGTCATTGCTTATGAGTAACTAGCAAGAAGGCTACAGGGCCCGTCTTCGTCCCAGCCTTGCATCAACAGCGTGTAGCCTTGCTGGGACTCACTTTGTGCTCTTTGCTGTTTTCCTCCACAGGTTGGTGGTCGGAGCCAGTTGTATCCTTTGCAGAAGTGCAGATGGCCATCCTTAGGAATGATGCTCCACCCCTTTACTATCCTCCCTCCCAGGAGATACTTTGTTTTCTTGCATGGGGACTCAACTGAACCTGTTAGGGTTGGGGGTCTGGGCCCAGGGAACTGTTTGGGGCTGACCTTTGAAGGCTGCTGCTTCCTGAACCTCACACTAAGCTTGCTGAGACAGCTGGAGAAGGCTGCAAGGCGGTCGCAATGGCTGTGATGAGCATCTCCCTTGAGAGCAGCCCTGCTGACCTCATCCCTGCAGGAGAAGCAGTCAGACCAGGAAGGGTCAAGAGGGGAACCCTAAGGGACTCAGGGTCAGGACAGGATCTAGAAGGAAGATGAAAGCCCCAGGGCTGAGCCTAGGAGCACAGGCCACGAGCAGTGCTCTGCAACTCTGCTCCAAGGTTCTTCTCCCCTGAAGGTTGAGACTTAACACCAGAGCCGGATGGAAGCCCTGTGGAGGCATAAACTTGTTTGACCTGTGGGTGCTGTTGGGAGAGCTTGCAGCTGGGACTGGCAGCTCTATGGACTTGAGACCCAGGGCCCTGAGGATCTCCGATGCTTTCAGCAGAGTCTCCTCCAGTGCTGAGCAGGAACAGGGGCCTGGGCAGTGGGAGCATGGTTCAGGCTCTGTTGCCCCTCTGCTCCCTAACTCACAATCAGTTAGTGTTCCTTAGCTTGCTGCTGAAGACGTAGCCCTAGAATGTGCCGGCTTCCTCACAGGCATTGGACTGGATACCACGGTCATGATGCGCAGCATCCCCCTTCGCGGCTTTGACCAGGTAGTGCCCAGGAGCCCCTGCTCTCACCTGGCCTCGGCTTCTCCCATGAAGCCACATTCTTTTTTTTTGGCTACCTTACACTGCCCCAAGCAGCTGCAGGTGTGTCCTAGGGGAGAGGCCTGAATCTTCAGAAACGGTTCTCAAAAACGAGGTGGCCTAGTATGAGCCTGTACTCCTGCCACTTGAGAGGCTGAGGTGGGAGAATCATCTGAGTCCAAGAGTGGAGGCCAGCCTAGGTAGTATTTCAAGTCCTATCCTCCAAAATAAGTCACCCATTAAAATCTAAGTTTGAGTTTGTCATTGAGATGCCAAATAGTCTATGTCCTGTACTGTAGTAGGAGGCCACTTGTTTGTTCCTGGCTGCTCAGTCTCCCTAAATAACCACTCAGAAACTGTACTAATTAATCCACTGCTTGGCCAATCACTATATCATATTCCTAGCAAGCTCTTACATATTAAATTAACCCATTTCTATTATTTTATATTTTACCACAAGGCTCGTGGCCTACCAGCTGGCAGCTCGCATCTTTCCCCTCTGGTGGCTACATGGTGTCTCTTGACTCCGCCTTCTTTCTCCCAGCATCCAGTTTAGTTTTCCCTGCCTAGCTCTATTCTACCCAATCACAGGCCGAGGCAGTTTCTTTACTCATTAACCAATAAAAGCAACACATATACAGAAGGACTTCCCACACCACTCTACCAAAGATTATCCAGTCCTTGATCATGCTAAACTCTGATGAGAGAAGCCTGGCAAAGACAGCTGAGTATGTAATACACTGGGTCCATGGTCTCATGACCCCTGCTTCCATCACCCTACCCTACAAACACCTTTCCATCCCCTGCAGCTGTGTGCCACTACAGCCGAGGGCATGCATACCAAGCCCCTCTACAGGGAACAACATCTGGGGAGCCTAAGAGTTTCCTGCTGCCGGGGGACATGTTGGCAGTAGACAGGCTGCAGATGTATAAGAAAGGGGCCTGCAGGGAAGAGGGCTGGAGTCTCAGGCCAGGTGGCAGTAGGCGCACTGGGCACTGAGCAGGCCCTTAGTTCCCGTTAGAGACTTGCATGTCTGAGTCCTCCAGGCATCTGGTGGCATGTAGAGTGTTAAGCAGCTAATGGGTCAGTTCCTTTGTTTGTGACAAATTGAGATTTGATCCCTGATGTAAAGGGCTCCTCATACATGTGATCCAGCATGAACCCCCTCACTCAGGCAGATAGCACAGGTTTTAAATGGTGGCTGTTTATGACCTCCAGGCAGCTGTGTCTAGTCTCTGCTGTTGGCCTGGCTTAACTGCAGAGCTATATATGGACTGGCCAGGCCACAGTGAGGCCTGGTGACACATGGGGCCCTGAGGGCTAGGAGCTGATTGCAGCACCTTCACCACCCCCAATCCGGGCCTACACTGCTGTTCTTGCATTTCCTGGGACTCTTCTGTCAGCTCCCTCAGCTTCCTGATGGCAGTGAGGGGATGTTGGTGACTCCCAGTGGAGACCGGGTGGGGAGTGGTAGGCCAGCTACTTGAACTGGGACTGAGAGAGGAGGCTGAAACTAAATATGCCCTGACCAGTCTCAGGTCTGGGAAGTGGGAGCCAGGAGGTACTTGGCTTTCCAACTTGGCCTCCAGAATCGTAGAACAATGGGACCCAGGGGTGGGGGTAGTGATACCCCATCTTCTCTGGGCAGACCCCTGTTTTGGCCCTGCCGAGCATTTGAGAGCAAGGTGGAAGGCTAGGGTTCTCTCAGTGCCTGCTGCCAATAGTGACCTGGTCCTCATGGTGTCTTCTTGTGCTTTGCAGCAAATGTCATCTTTGGTCACAGAGCACATGGAATCTCATGGTACCCGATTCCTGAAAGGCTGCATCCCCTCCGTCATCAAAAAACTCCCAACTGGCCAACTGCAGGTCACCTGGAAGGACCACGCCTCTGGCAAGGAGGACACAGGCACCTTTGATACTGTCCTGTGGGCCATAGGTAAGGATGCTCTCTAGCTCAGGGGAACCAGCAGAACCGAATTCCCTTGGAAGAGGCGTCTTCACCTTCCTGTCCTCCCTCCTGGTGCTCTACTCTGCTCACTCCTAAGCAGGTTGGCCACTGCCTGGTACACCTTGCAGGCCACTGTGGAAGCAGTGGACACAGTACCTACACCTGGCTGTCCCAGACACACTATGCCTTTCTTTCTTTCCCCATTGCCATGTGCTATTCTGGAAAGCAAACCAAAGAAGAGGGTTGGTGGTGTCACCAGGCATAATCCTTCAGGATAGGTGTGTGAGGCCTTCCACAACCCTTCATGGATTGTTTCTAAGGCTTCAGCATAAACCCTAGAGATTTCATAGAGGGCTTAAATTTTGATAGATCTATCTTGAATGAATTCTATGTTTTCTTCATAGCATTATAATTTCAAGCTGGTTTTTTGTTTGCTCACTTTGAGGCAATATCTCATATAGCCCAGGATAACCTCAAGCTCCATTGTAGCCAAGGATGAGCTGGAACTCAGCTTCCTGTCCCTGTGACCCAAGTACTGGGATTGTAGGCTTGCACCATCATGCTGGATTTACACCAGTTGTTTTTTCTCATAAAAATGATACATAGAGAGCTGCGGAGCTAGGGAGGCAGAAGCAGGTGGACCCCTAGGACTTGCTGCATAAGCAGCCTAGCCTGTTCCGTGAACTCCAGCCATGCCTCAATGAAACAAGGAGTTCAGCCCCTGAGGAAAGACACCTGAGGTTACCATCTGGCCTTCACACATATGCACACATATGTGTGCATACCGGCATACACATGTGTTTTCACAGGAACACACGGTGACATATTTTTAGGTTTTAAAAGTGGCAGTCATACGTATAACATGAAGTGTTCTATTTTATTTGGTACCCAGCTCTGAGGCAGCGAGAGCATTCACACTACTGTGCAGCCATCACCACATCTGTTTGCAGAGCACTGTCCCACTCCGAAGCCCCTGGTTTACTGCATGTCAGCTTCCTCCTGCCCTGGCACCCACCACTCCACTTTCTAACCTAGTTTGATGACTCCAGGAACTCATAAATGGACTCTTACAGCATTGACCTTTTTGTTTCTGGCCTGAGTCACTTATCATAATGTCCTCAAGGTTTATCCATGTGCTAGCATATGTCATAATTTCCTTCCTCTTTAAGGTTGAACAATTTTGTTTATCCATCCGTCTGTTGATGGACATGCAGGCTGCTTTCACCTTTTGATTATTGTCAGTACTATTGCAGTGAACACAAATGTTCACAAGCTAGCTGTGTTGATAGAGGCCAGAGGATGTGGTTCATTAACAGAGGCTTGCCTAGCATGTCCCAGGCCTGGGTTCCATCCCAGCAGGTGTGCTTTGACTGTCACTATGTAGCCTTGCTCTTGTCCTTCTGCTTGCCATGGATGGTGGGTCCAGCTTTTCATGGGGATGAAGGCCTAGCAGGCGAGGCTGTACATACTTAGCTGTTGCTGACTTTGCTAGATAGATGCCAGGGGAATGCCTACAGGGTCAGGGTCTATGTGGTAAGGGTTGAGGAGGCTCAGCCAGCGGCCAATGGCAAGAATAGAGATCCAAGGGCTGGAGAGATGGCTCAGAGGTTAAGAGCATTGCCTGCTCTTCCAAAGGTCCTGAGTTCAATTCCCGGCAACCACATGGTGGCTCACAACCATCTGTAGTGAGGTCTGGTGCCCTCTTCTGGCCTGCAGACATACACACAGGCAGAATATTGTATACATAACAAATAAATAAACATTTAAAAAAAAAAAAAAGAATAGAGATCCAAGATGCTGTTCCTATCACAGGCATGCTGGGAGAGCAGCATACTGGCCATGGTGAATGGGGTTCTTATGGAGCACCATGGGTCTTTATTGGTGAGGTAACATATGCACACCACATCCCCATGTGAACAGCCTGCCCACCTCAGTGCAAATACTTTCTAGTTTGGGCTTCTAGTTTTCCTGACTTCCTTATGAATTTACACATTGACATAGGGGAAACCTGGATCAACAGAAACTTACCTTAGAGCTTTGTCCCAGATTATCTGGGTCTCTGGAGTCTGTCTAATGTGAGCTAGGACTCAGAAACCAGATCACCCTGGAAACTTCTTTTTGCTCCATCTCAATAAGACAGGTGGTCTCCAGGTGTGCGAGAATGGACTTTCTAAGGAACAGGGCTGCATCGCAGAGCAATGTTTCTGGAAATAAACTTTCTCCTGAGTTGTTCAGAGGACATGGTCTGGTTCAGATTACACAGAAGAGGATGCGAATGTGGACCTGAGTGCGCCCCAGCACGAATACAGTATCACCCTAGTCAAAGCTGACGAAGAGTGTGCTCTTGGTCACATTGTTAAAAATTAACTTTTAAATAAATTCATTGTGAACAGTACAAAAGATTAGGTGATGGGCCGGGTGGTGGTGGCACACGCCTTTAATCCCAGCACTACGGAAGCAGAGGTAGGAGGTAGGAGGTAGGAGGATCTCTGTGAGTTTAAGGCCAGCCTGGTCTTCAGAGCTATTCCAGGATAGCCGGGGGCTGTTATACAGAGAAACCCTGTGTCAAAAACCAAAAACAAAACAACAACAACAAAAACAGAACAGAACAAAAAAAGATTAGGTGACATCTTAGATCCCAAAGTGTCTGGTTTATCTTAAACTTGTAACTGGCAAGGAGACAGCCCCCCCCCCATCTCTTTTCCTCACCTTGGGCACATGGAACCCTGTCTTACCTTTGTTTGTTGTTTTGCTTGTTTGATTTGTTCTTTGTGATAGGGCCTCCTACATAGGACAGACTGATTAGAACTCACAGTGTAGCCCAGACTAGCCTCACACTTGCAGTCCTGGGCCACCACAGTGCATCACCATGCCCAGCCCTTGTCTTGTCACTCGACCATGTGGCCAGGTGCTGTAGGGTCTGTGCCTTTGCAAAGTCTGGCTCCCCTGGTTCCAGGGGGTCTTCATCAGGCAGAGCCTCTGTCCTTTTCTTGCTGGGAGTCTGTTCTACTTTTTTCTATTTTCAAAAAGAGTATCCCCCAGACATGCTGCGGGAGTGATTGATGCTGGGGGTGGAAGCTTTTCGAAGTCCTTGGCCTCTGACCCTGCTTCCCCAGGGCTGTGGCAGTGGCGGCAGCGGTTTCTGGCACGCCTTCTGGGTGGTGGGGCTGGCGCTCGGGCATGTGCTGACTTCACCACCCCCATCTGAGCCAGGTTTTGTAAACATTCAGCAGCCACTTCCCACTTAAACAACTGGGACTGTTTTCTGAAGTTTGCACTGGTAAGCCTTTAACAAAGCCTTATTTCTGCTTGCTATAAGATGATGACTCTGAGAGGTTAAAATAAAATGCACAGCTGCATAGCTGGTACCTCAGACATCCCTGTGGATCATGCTTTGCATCTCAGCAAGCTGGACTTTGAGGGACATTTAAGAAAAGGGATGGATGCTCTTCTGGGCCCCCATGACACCTATGGCCAGGAGAGGCCCCGCACCCTATACCCAAGGGGGCCAGTGTTCTGTAGGCAGTGAGATTGTGAGACTGCAGCCACGGCAAAGTGGGGCTGCCCTCTGGAAGCCAGGAGGGGCAGTCAGCTTTTTCCTCCACACAGCCTTGATCTCCAGTGGTGGATTAAACATATTAGCAGTTAAAGCAGTTAATTGCTGTGCAGGGGCCCCTCATTGTTTGTCTCTGAATCACCCGCCCACACCAGGTGTCTCAGATAATAGACTGGGAACCTCAGCGAGGAGGATTTCCTGTCTGCAGATGTGCCGATTACAGCGCTGAGTGAAGACAGTCAGCCTGCAGTCCAGGCAGGCGGGATCTGCTCTGCCTAGCCAGGAGTTAACCAGTTGTGGCCTGAATCGGTGCTGTCACGGGAGCTGGCCCAGGCCAGTCCCCACAGATGCCTTCTCTGAGGCCTGGCCGTACTTCAGCTGAGCTGAGACTTGGTTTTAAGGAAGGCATGTGGAGCCTCTGGAGAGCAGCCTTGGGAAACTGAGTGGAGACTGACCTTTGCTCTTGGCTGCCAGAACACAGCCAGGCAGTTCTCTGCTCCTGCCCAGGAAAGACAAGGCTGTGGCACATTCATTTCTGGGTCACAGTACTCCTTCCCAGCATGTGGAACAGGGGCTTTGCTGCGCCTACATAGTCCTACATAGTCCGATTAAGAGCTGGGGACGACAGTGCCTGAGGAACCTGCCTAGAGAGGAAGAGTGGCAGGTAAGGCCTGGGAGAGGAACTCGCCTGGTTTTCACCCCGACCACTAAGCCATTTCTTCCTGCTCAGGCTTCATCTTAGACAACCTAGTATCTTGTCTTCATTGTCATCATCTGTGTGAGTCAAATCTAGGTCTGGACCTCTGAAACGGTGTGAGAGTAGCCAGTCAGTCCTGGCTTTTAGGCACTGGGGCTAGACTTCCCAGCTTCCGTCTGGCTCCATGTGGAGGTCATCCACCCAGCATGGGCACCTGGCCCACGTCCAGGGAGGCAGGGCACAGGGAAGCTGTGTGGGAACACCCAATCTTGGGACCCAACCCAGCCCAGGATGCGCTATGTAATCTGGCTCTCCATTCCCACCCAGGACTACCTGTTTATGTATGCAAATGAAATGCCCGTATGACCGACACTGTCACGCGAGCCCTCCCCAGTACTGAGTGCCATGCAGCAGGGACAGGGGTAGGAGAATAAACAGAATCAGCTCCACACGGGTGGAATGTCCTGAGCTCAACAAATGAGAAGGCCAGCTTTGGGCTGCCTTTGAGAGGTGGCTTGGTCCCCGGCACTGGGTGCTGAGCTAAGACTCTGAAAAGGAGCAGAGCGTGGATACACTAGCTGAGGGTCTCCCTACTGTGTGTCTTGCAGGTGACAGAGTGTTCCTGGGGCCCTCAGCTGTAGGTGGGCCCAAGCTATGAGTCAGGGCCATAATAAAAAAAAAAAAAAAAAAAAAAAGAGAAGGCTGAGGAGAGGAAAGGGAAGAGGTTTGGGTTTA